TTTGAGCAAGGTACTCTGTGGAATTCCAAAATTCAGGTTGGGCCAATCATACAATTACATAATCTCTGAAATCAGTTTTACAGAATATCTTGGAGGATAAATTGTTGCAGGTGGAGCTAGATGCAAAAAAAAGTGTCAAAATGAAACATATTTCATTAGCAAAAATAAAACTTCTAGAACAGTGACTGATTATCTGGTAGTAGAATATAATAAATGACCAAAATTAAAAAAAATGAGAACTGTATTTAAATAGAAGAATATAAATTGTCTATGAAATTGAATTTGTAGCTAAAACGGACAATGTGAAATGTGCATTGTCAGCAGATAAGCTTTAAAGAGAAAATGAAAAACAAGTCTTGACCATTTGTTAAGATAGATTAATCTGCTTGAAAACAACAAGAGTGCTGTCACAGTTCACTTCCTCTCTGTAGCTAATCAATTACCTGAATGGTAAACAAATCACACTTAACTAAGGAATTTCTATTCTATGTGACAGCTGTATGGCCCTGTATACTACAGTAATGGAGTTGATATTCTCTTAGACCAAACCCTATTACAGGGAGTAGCACCAAATGTCGAATTATCAGAAGACATAGACGGAATTTACCATGTTCTAAATTAGAAATATAATGACAATTATATAAAAGTCAAGTGTGTTAACACACCCATAAAATGCAAGGTATAGCTGCTTAATTTCTTTTTTCTAGATTAAAAAAGATGACTGCTAAGCACCTGTTTCTTAAAAAAAAATCATAACTTTAAACCTCCCATATAGATCATTTGACTATTTACTTTAAAATCCCTTTCTCACCTAGACTCCTGGTTTTATTGCAGACATTTCAAGATTATTTTCACTTTTGTTTTAATTTTAAATATTCAATAGTCACCAGAGAAAGTATTTGAATTAATGTTACTAATAAAAATGTTAAACGTCTTCTCAGTACATGAATTGTCTACACATGTAAAATTTACATTAAGGACAAAAAATATTTAATCTTCAAAATTCTTTTTATAAGGTAAATATTATGCATTTATTTCATTCAGCTATTTTTTGCCACCTTATTTGATAAACTGTAAGTTATGCATCCCCTTTTCAGGTGCTTTCTTCAAACATACATTTAGAGAACATTATTAAACTACCTTGATTAATATTGAAAAATAGTTCGTATGAATTTAATTCTTTGAAATGAAGTAATTTTTCAAGTTGCAGATATTCCCTATATATTTAAATTAGTTTGATTTTCTATTTATTATGTAGAGACCTAAGATTTCAATCCTGAAGTCACGAAATCACTAAATTTAGGCATAGCACCAACAGTTCACTCTTAGGCAGATACACTTGATATTTTGTTAATTACATATTTGTACTTCACAAAATGTGTGATGCTGGCTTACTTCAATGTCAAAAGGATATAACAGGTACATGAAAAATATTAAGCTAAAAGAAACATTTACTTACCTACAATTGTTCTCTTCAAGAAAAATTTTTTTGGATATTTTAAGGGGGGGAAAAAAAAGGTTATTGCATCATTTATGTACTATTCCTCAAATTACCTTATATATATATATATATATATATATATGAAGAAAAATACAGTAGTTTTAATGAAGCCTCATAAAGAATAGTCAATGTATTATCTACATTCTAGGTACCATCGACAGTTTTTTTTGTAAACTGTAGTTCTGATAAAGAAATTAAAAACTGCAATAAGCTGTACTAAACAAACATAATGAAATTAATCTACTAATAAGTTGTTGAAAGAATAGTGCATAAAACCTTCAATTTAGTTAAGTTTAGGAGTAATCTCTCTCTCTTCTAAGATAGGCTAACGTTTTATCTGCAGAATGTAATAATAATAATAATAATAAAAACTTCTCCATATAGTTAGCAAATAGCATTTTCTTTTACACCTCCTGTGACTGAATGTCTAAAAGTTTTATATACATAGAAATAAAATTACTATCCTCTCACCATATATACTTCTGAGCTTTTATAAATGTCAATACATGGTATTTATTGTAATCAGAGGTCTTAAACTTATCCTATATAGACAGTTTATCTTCTTCACCTTATGTTAAGAAATGTACTTCATTTGAAAATCATTGTTCTTATGTATAAAAATTAGCTTACTGTCACAATAAAGTAATGTGTGCTTCAATCATGAGGTTCTTTGATTTCAGTTTTATAATTTTGTCATGTATTTTCTATATTCACCAAACCAAATCCAGATTCTTATATAAAGAATTACTGGCTGGAGAAAAAAATAACTATAAATAAAGTTCTGATTTTTTTTTTATTTCAAAAATTACTAATTTACAAACATGAGACACATTGTTCCTACTATCATCCTCATCATACCAAGCCAGGTAACAGAAGCATATACCAACTACACACACACACACAAAGTAACATAATCATGTGAACTCGTTTCCCTTTCAGTTAATATGTTCAATGCTAATTCAGTTACACATTTAAATAGTGTCCATAATGATGGATATCAACATGAAGCTTCTGAGTGAAGCAACATTAATTTCTAAAGTGGATTACTCCCTCCCAACAATTAGTGCACAAAAGTGAAGTAAAATGTGATTAATTTGCAACTCTTTTCTGTATATTCAGTGTTTGAAAACTGAAAACAATGAGTTGAAAATGATTCATTATTGTAATAAATAAACAGTGGTCCTAATTCAAAATACAAAAACACATAATGAAAAACATTAAATCACAAATCTAAACTGAAGTAAGGAAATTATCATCTAATCATTTATCTGATGAACTACCAAAAGAAATGACAATGTAATATAAATGCTAAATTTTTTTCATTCTTACATTTTCTGCACTTCACTCTGAAAAAAGAATACAACACAAATCAGTTTTTCTAATCCACTGAACAACTATTTCATATTAATTTTAAGTCTTTTTAAAATAAATTCCATACTAATTTATTCCTTATAAAGTTTGTTTTGCAGCCCTAATGACTACATGTATGAACTTATAAATGTTATTCTAAGAAAAATAAAGAAATTAAAACACAATTTTGCAATTCAAAGAAACTGACAAACAGACACAAAAATAGTTTTAAACCTAAGAATATGTAAAACACTATATATTTGTAAAACTTTATTCATACTGGATTCAGACTTTTCAATATCATACACAGTTTTCATACATTTTTAACTTACACACCAGATCAAGACAAGACTCTCCTATTAGCTATTAATTCCACATACCGTCCCTAAATTCCATCACTTTGACTTGTTCACTCATCTGCTTCATGTAACACAACATACTCTGCAGGTAGAGAAACATTCATCAAGCATACTGCACATATTTATTGGGAGTGATGATGTAAAGTTCACTTGAAACTTAGACTGATGCTCTTAAAAAAAAAAGGCCATGTAAAACAAGTGTTCCACAAAAGACAATGTCAACAATTAGTGATTTTTGTTTGTCCACAGAAGGGAAGAATGTTAACATACCCACTTATATGTAATAACTGGACTCTCGTGGCTTCCAACATAAAATGATATCCTTCTGTTGCATACAAGCACTCAAGACCGAAAACACTGCCCAGAATAATTTCATTCACTCAAAAGTTGTTCCATGTAAGACAAGATTAATATAAAACTTTCAGACATAATTTAGGGGTCTTCCATAAAGTTTAACAATGGGGTGATGAAAAAATGTTATAACAGTGGCAGAGTGCATTTACTGCAGTTGCACAGGGTCAGTCTTGCATCTCTTCGGGAATCTCGTGCGGGTTCAAAATTCCTGGAACTGATAACTGAATTTTCCTCTTCTCTTCCTCAGCTTGCCGAAGAGCTGTTTCTCTTTCTTCCAGAAATAGACCACTGTCATCTTCTCCAGCAAATTCCTAGAAATTTAAAAACACACTGCATTTTATAGTTAAGTGGTGAAACCTTAACAAGTTAACTACAGCCAACTGTATTTGCTTCCATTAAGTATGAATATCCTACTTTAATACATTACTGTAGTATAATGCATGTGGAAGCACTGAAGAACATTTTTAAATAACTGATTTATTAACTACTATTTTAAAGTGGATCACAGAAAACACATACAATCCCTTGAAACCCTTTCAGGTTGTTTGCATACGATTTAAACAGTGATCAACAATTTTTTGTAATTAGTACTTACTCTAATCTGGACCAAGAAATCTCTTAAATGTTCTTTGAAGGCAGGAATGTCCTGATCAAGATTGAAGAACCCCTGAACAGTAATTTTTATTTGATTTCTGCAATCAGAGAAATAGTATATCAGAAAATATTCCTTGCATAACATGTTAGCAACTTGCCTAGCATCAAAAGATATGACATAAAAAAGTGTCTCCTTCATTAATAAAACTAATTCTTAAAGTAATAACAGATTAAAAGCACAACAAAATAATAAAAATCTCATGTGTTAAACATAATTTCAATAAAGAAAGTTTAGAAATTAAATTATGATACACTCAACCAGAGGGCCTATATATGCCAGTAAAGTGACTTTAGTCAAATTTGTATTTATAATAAAACTGGCTAATTATTAGGTAGGTGCTCCTTTATGTTGTTAGACAAACCATTACAAACTTTCATCAGAAATTACAATCTACTCTTTCATTGACTACCTAATTCAGTTCAATAACTTTTCATATTAATGAGTAATTTGTTGTATAAGAAACAACTAAAACATTGGTTTTTGTGGAAACATTTTTGGCTGACTGGTGAATAGGTCTTAATATAGACAGTTCACAATGTCAAGAATTAAGAAATTCAAGTATCTGTATGTTTTTGTACAACTTTCTTCTTTCTAAAGTTCTCAAAATTGTAAATATATCTCCTGAAACATGGAATTATTTTCTTTCTATCAATTTGTCATAGAATTTACCATCTTCCTTATATCAGTAAACAATAACTTAATTAAAAGCTGTTATAATTCTTCAATTCAAGTTGATGTTCCTGTAGGCAGTATGGGAGTTTTTGCTATCATTTAGGGGTATTATGTTATTTTTTGGTCACAGAAAAGTATTAACTTAATCAGTTTCTCTGTGTGTTTATACATTTTATTAAAGTAATTTCCTTGGCAATTATTTTTTTGTATATAACAAGTTTAGTCTGAGGCCAAGCCATCAAGAAACACTGGGATCATACTTTGCAATCAGTCAAAGGTAAGTAGTGTAAGTTGTATTATTATATGTAGACCATAAAATAGAGTGACACGAATATCAACTATTTCTATTAGTTTTAATACTTTAAATTTCTTTACTGCACCATTTCTTTCAACAAAATTGTGTAGCATAAGCATTACTTGACTTATGTATGATAGAAGTATCAACACTGACTATTGGTTCAGCTATTATGTAGTGCACGGATAACAGTGTAGTAAATAGCAATGTTATGTAGTGGTTTTCATTGTATTATAAATCATAACTTGACCAAAAATTAAATTTATATTTCAAAAGCTGTCACCACATATATCATGCCATGTATTTAAAATGTCTGTTTTTCAGATTTGATTAATAAAAAATACACCTTAGCTGGAAAGGATAAAGGGATGTAAATTAATAAAAGAGAAATTAATGATCAAGGTTGAAACTTCTCATACATACATTTCAGTGTTACCTATAAATCTAATAATTTTAACTTACTGTTTGTTATCTGATCTAAATTACATAGAAAAACACCACTTTTTAATCATTATTTACACAAAACTTTTAATACAATCACAAGTCTTACATTTCTACTAATTTTATTTAATAATGTTTGGGTAAATAAAATAACTAACAATTAACATTTTCTGGTTCCATTTCATGATTGGTTCATGGCTTCATAACAAGTTTTATTTCACCAATAGAGTAATAAAAACCTAAGCTATTTATGACTCAATAGGAGAGAAAAACAACAACAGAAGATAAAAAACTAAATACTGTGATACTACTCCTCTTTAAAAGTAACAATTACCTTTAACAGACAAATCACAGGCATATTGCATAAAATAATGTTATACAGCTATGTACTCAAATTTACTTCATTCTTCATACATTTTGCTGAAAAATCTAATCTAGATTCAAAAACATTTTCAATTGTCATACTTCATGTTTGAAAGATTCTGTTTTTTGGATGTGGAGACATTTATGAATTATTAATTTTTAGGAATGTAAACAGAAATGATAATATATTGCCATTGGGCTGGAACTGGCAAAGGTCTGTGAATTAATGAAGAAAAATAACGATAAAGGCTGACATTTCTCATACATACATTTCAGTGTTAACTATAAATCTAATAATTTCAATTTACTGCCATCTGGTCTAAAATACATACAAAAACAGCGAGAACTGAGGTAAGTTAATCAAAACAATCACAGAGCAATGAAAAAATGCTCTGTTTACAGCAATCATCATCCAATGTTCATACATACTGTGAAAGATGAGGGAAGGCCATCTTAAGTAAGCTAGCCACAAATTCTTGTACATAAGTGACATTATTCTGGCCATTATTCTGTACTGTGGGATTCAGTGGAACAGAAACTTTTCCAACTTCAACTAAAGTGAACATGTATGCAAGAATAGTTGCCTGCATAGTCAGACCTAAAATTATTTAAAAAATTTTTTGTAGAGATAACAAAAATACACACTTTTGTCACACTGTAAAATGCTTTTAAATACTTAACTTTTTATACATACACTAAGTATGTTTCTATGCTATTTAATCAATGTCACTTTATAGAGAACTGGCTACT